CTCTCCTCGCCTTCGGGGAGCCCCTGCGCCCGGGCCGGGCCCCGCTCCGCCTGCCCCGCCGCTCGCCCCGTCCCGGTAATTACCCTTAATTCGCAAAAGTGGAAAAAGTCACTTAAAAGTGCTGTTGTGCTGGAGCAGCTATCGATCCCCTTTTTTACTTTCCACTTCAAGACCGACCGGTTAATCATGTGAAGTACCATTGACTTATTGATCGTTTATGTTTTGCTTTCCTTATATGCCAAGGAAAGAGCCGTGTTTACACGCGTGTAATTTTAATCTCAAAATCTTTATATCCTTTTCCGAAAGGCCTCGAAAAAGAAAGTAAGACTTTTCTGCGGCACACGGACGTTCAAAAACGAGGTAACGACAACTTACCATTGCTATACAATAACTGAAGTTTATAATGAATTCCATTGTTAGTTTTTTCATTGTTTGGCTCCTGCAAGCAACGATAAATAATTATATTTAGCATGAAAAATATCTCCCTCCTCCTGACGTACATTTTTCTCGTCCCTGAAGCCGCTCGGAATTAACAGTTCGCAGAAATTCAGCCCTCTTCGTGGAGCGCTGATGATGTCATTATCTCGGTGCAAATATGTCATGTTTAGCCCTTTTCCCCGCGTTAAAACGAGCCGGGGAGGCGGCGGGACGCTCGCAAAGCCGGGCTGTGCGCGGAGACCTCCGGCGCGTTTTAGAAAGCCCCCCGCTACCAGGGGTCGGAGCTACTCGCGCAGGTAAATTAGCCGTAGGTGCGGTCTGCCCGGGCGAAAGACAAACTCCGTAACTTGCGTGTTAAGAAAAGCGTAAACTTTCTCACCTGTTTGGTCATTGAGTCTATTAGACGGACGTACAGGTCCTGCTCTGTCCTAACTCCTGGGGAGGGAAAGCAGAGACAAATTCCTATTAGGATTTCAACAGCGAGCCACCCAAATTACATAATGAAAGCATGAGGTCAGGCAATTAACTGCGAGGGCCAGGCAGCGGCACCCGCGCCAGGCTCCGGAATAAAATTAAA